CGCGCGCGTGTGTGTGTGTGTGTGTGTGTGTGTGTGTGTGTGTGTGTGTGTGTGTAGCCACCGCGCGATCGATAGCGCGTCGAGTCAGCGAGCGGGCGGCGCGATCGATAGCGCGTTGAGTCAGCGAGTGGCAAGTCAGCAGCAGCCACCAGTGAGCGGTGAGGCAGCAGCAGGCGAGTCAGTCAGCAGCCGCCACCAGCGAGCAAATACATGTTACATGTTCGCGGAGGTATGCACTCTCCGTGAGTGTCCTCTGTCTAGTTATACATGAATACACCCGATTCTGAGTCAGAACCAGGGAAATCATTGGGATCTAGGTCACTACCACTGTAGCGGCCAACCAACAATTACTTCCCAAATGACGTCTTTTTGCGTATGATAGTCCGGACGGTTTTGGTTTTGGTTTTGGTTTTGGGTGGGTTTGGGTGCAAAGCAGTGAACGCAGGCAGTAGGCTTTGTGAGTTACGACGGTCGAGTTTTGTGTATACGGTTCAGTGTGTAACGGAAGAATACCATAGTCAACGATACGTCAAGCTTTCGTCTATGATCATCGTCGAAGTTCGTTGATGATAGAATAAATGATGAACGGATAAATTGGTGTTAAAGACTGCTGTTGGTATAAGCGTTACATTATTGACGTATCGACGTAGTGACGAGCAGTGGGGATATACGCCATGTCGACCGACAAGGAAGATGTACAGGATGACCATGTGGCCAGTGGAGCTGATCATGACGGACAGTCAGTCCGGGGAGCTAGAGGATCTCGCCAAAGACAGCTCACAGGGAGATGGGTGGAAAGTTATCTTTCCGATAGGGGGCGAGAGGGCGACTCAACGCAACAGAGTGAGGCCCACAGACACAGCGCACGTAGATCGAAGGATCAGATGGACGAGGCCAGTGAGTCGGTGGGAGGCGCTTCGTCTGCAAGTAGTGCAGCATACAGCGACATATCATCCAAGCGCTTGAAGGAAAAGCAGAGAAGGGTTGAGTTGGAGGCAAGGAGGTCGGCATTAAGGCGGAAGCGGGAACTCGAGCTGGCAAAGCTGTTCTTAAAACTAAATGAAGAGGAACTTCAACTTGATACGGACATCGCTGTATCCGATGCTAAGGCCAAGGTGTTGAACAGGTTCGAGCAGGCAGAGCACATCCGGTGGGAGGAAGATTATTTGCCCAATGACAAGAATGAGCTGGGAGTCAGGAGCGATTGTTTACCTGTTCTACTGGATCCTAGTGCGGGATCATTCAAGCCTGAAGGGATATATGTTCCTGCAATGGGAGGCGAGAGGCCTAATTTACCTAGTGCCGACATTCGTAAGAGCACGAACTTCATTGTCGACCTGACCAAAGATGCCTTACATTCTGTCATACAGCACCCCAGGAAGCCGGTGCCAGAAATAAAGAAGTTTGGAGGCAATGCACTAGAGTTTAGAAGGTTTCTTCGGCAATTTCAGGCAAAGATGGTAGCCAATACGGATGACGATGACGAGAAGAGGAACTATCTAGAGCAGTTGACACACGGTGAGGCTCATAAGGTGGTTTCAGAATTTAGTCACCTGACTGGAGAAAAGGCATACAAGGCAGCGATGGAGCAGCTAGAGAAGCGCTATGGTGATAACGAAGTTATCGCTACAGCCTTCATCAAGAAGGCACACGATTGGCCCATGGTACGAGCTGGAGATGCGCAGGCGCTCGACGAATTTTCCTTGTTCCGGGTAGAATGCGAGAATGCTGTGGAGAGTATTGGTGCAGAAAGTGTCCTGAAGTACTCGGAGAATGTCAAGAGACTGATGGAAAAGCTTCCATTTCACCTACACGACAGATAAAGGAACATAGTTCTGAGAAAAAAGGAAGCTCATAGAACTGTGAAATTTGCTAACTTCGTTCGTCTCGTGAAAGCAGAAGCAAAGAAAGCCAACGACCCCACATATGGCAATACAGCAGTAGGGATGCACAGGGGTAAGGATCAGTCGTTAAAGGGTGGCACCGCATTCAGGAGGAATAACTCGGTTCTCAATGCTGTTAGTGAAGTGTCAATGCCAAAGACAGTCACTGAATCGAAATGTTCATACTGTAAATCTAGATCTCATTCCCTGGAGAACTGCAAGGCATAGTGACTGTGAGCCTGCAGGAGAGATATGATCACTTGAGAAGCAAATGACTTTGCTTTGGGTGTCCGAAGAAGGGCCATATGGCAAGGATGTGTAGAGTCAGACAAACATGTAATGTCTGTAGAAGGCAGCATCCCACTATTCTTCACGACGAGTCCAGGAGACCATCAACTGAGACGGCTAGACGCCGAGAGACCGAGGAAACTAAAAATAAAGAAGAAACCCCCAGCGTTTGTATGAGCTATCCTCTTGATACTAATGGTCAAGCAGGGGCCGGTGATGTTTCATGTGCTACGGCTATAATCCCAGTAAGAGTAAAGCTGAAGAACAGATCTCACAGCATAGAGACATACGCTTTCTTCAACTCGGGTAGTAGTGTATTATTTTGTACGGAAGGCGTGATGAGGCAGTTGGGAGGCAGTGGTAAGAAGATTCAGCTTACATTGAGCATCATTGGTAAACCCATAAAAATAAACATATGCGCTGAATGGGCTTCAGGTTAGTGACCTCGTCATGGAGAATGTCATCGACTTACCAAGAGTCTACACGAAGGAACGGATGCCTGTCACAAGGGACCATATACCTACCCAGGAAAAAATATCCAGATGGTCGCACTTGTCTGAAGTACGCATACCAGAGATAAAAGCGGAAGTTGGACTTATGATTGGAAGTAACGTACCTGATGCTATACTCCATTTGATGTTCTCACGGGTGCCACTGGATCACCGCATGCAACAAGGACCAGAGTCGGATGGATCGTCTGGAACGTAATTAGAGACAACCCAACCCCTGAAGTGAACAAGGTACACATCGAAAATAGTATTCGGGATGATAGGCAGTTAGAGGAAATGGTGAGTAAATCTATGGACTTTAACTTCCCGGAACGCCTGATAGATGACAAGAGAGAGAACTCTATGGAGGACGGAAGTTTCTGGCGACAGGTCAGTGAGTCAATCCATCGGGAGGGAGCACATTACTGCATTGCTCTTCCCTTTCGGGACCGCAACGTCACATTGCCAGATAACTCTACATATATGTTACGGCGATTCCGAAACCTACAGAACAGACTGAACAGAGATCCTAAATTTAAGAATGATTACGTAAGGTTCATGGAAGAGTTAATACGCAAGGGCTATGCAGAGCTTGCGCGCAAGGAATCGGACAACGGGAAAGTCTGGTATATCCCACACCATGAGGTCTACCACAAGAAAAAGCAGAAGATACGTGTAGTGTTTGACTGTTTAGCTAAGTACCAGGGTGTATCACTGAATAGTGAGCTCCTACAGGGACCCGACTTTATCAATAATCTTCTCTGTGTTATTCTAAGGTTCCGCGGAGAGAATGTAGCAATTGTTGGAGACGTGGAGGCCATGTTTTATCAGGTGAAGGTAGCACAGAGCGATAGAGACTATCTGCGATTTTACTGGTGGGGGACGGGCAACATGGAGAAGGAACCAGTCGCATACAGAATGACAGTTCACCTCTTCGGGGCAACGTTATCTCTTAGTGTGTGCAACTACGCCCTTCAGCGTACGGTAAAGGAGAATGGAAAAGAGTTCGACCAACTGGTCGCAGATACAGTGATGGAGAACATGTATGTGGACGATTGCCTAACTTCGGTTCCCTCAGATGAGGAGGCGGTTTTGCTCATTCGAGATCTGACTATGATGTGCAAGAAAAGAGGGTTCCGTTTAATAAAATGAATCAGTAACAGCCCGGCAGTAATGGAATCTGTGCCAGAGGTTGGTCGAGCTAAAGAAGTAAAGCTGTGGAGTCCGGGTACAGAATTGCCAAGTGAACGAGCCCTGTGTGTCTACTGGTCCATTGAGAATGACTCGCTTGGATTTCAGATTCAGGTGCGAGATAGACCAGCCACAAGACGAGGTATCCTGTCGATAGTGAGTTTAGTGTACGATCCCCTTGGAGCGGCATCTCCCTTTGTGCTGATCGCCAAGTCCATACTTCAGGGATTGTGTAAACGTCAAATTGGATGGGATGAGGAGATCACAAGTGCCGATCTGAGACATTGGAACGACTGGCTGAGTCAACTTCAAGGCCTGGAAAATGTGACGATCAAACGGTGCTATAAACCACAGAACTTTGGCAATGTTGTGTTTTGCCAACTGCATAGTTTCTCAGATGCCAGTGACATGAGTCTTGGAATGGTATTCTATTTGCGCCTCGTTCATGATAGTGGACAGGTCCAATGTTCCTTTCCTTTGGGAAAGGCCAGAGTTGCCCCCTTGAAGGCTGTAACAGTGCCCAGGATGGAGCTCACCGCAGCAGCGGTGGCCGTGAGACTCTGCAAGATGATTTTGGAACAACTAGGTTATTCCATTGACCGGACCTTCTACTGGACAGACAGTACATCGGTACTGCGGTACATAGCCAACAGGAACTTGCGCTTCCATACGTTTGTCACAAATCGGCTAGCTGTTATTTATGAGGCAACCCAGGTGGATCAGTGGCACTGTGAGAACACGAAACATAACTCAGCAGATTGTGCATCGAGAGGAATGGCTATTACCAACTTCGTTCAGCACTTCCTGTGGTTCAACGGGCCGGATTTCTTGTGGAAAGCAGAGTCTGAATGGCCAAGTTTTCCGCAAGATACTACTATGACAGTTGATTATGCCGAGGTGAAGAAGATGGTCAACACGATCCCGACAGTCATATCCGAGTCATGCGACGGAATGGAGAGGCTAATGGCGAGTTTCTCAGACTGGTCGAAGCTGAAAAGAGTAACCGGATGGCTGATGATTGATATGGACAACCTACAACTTGCCGTAAAGCGGACACGGTAGATCAAGATAGATATCGAGTCTTATGAAACCGACCCATTAAGATGTGAAAGGGCGGTGGGAGATGCTGTCGTGAAGGAAAGAAATGGCAGACTACAGAAGGCCACCGAACAAATCAAAGTTGCTCGACTGACCTTACAAGTGCTGAAGAGGTCAGAGGACGCGCTTATATGATACGTGCAACACTCGCATTTCCCAGAAGAATTGGAAACGCTTCGGAGCATCCATTTAGGAGATCCTGGAAGGCTCAAGAAGTCGTCGAAGCTCTACAGACTGGATCCCTTTGTGTTTAATGGATTGCTGCGAGTAGGAGGTAGGCTAGAAAAGGCAGACTTGCCATATGAGGCGAAACATCCCGTGGTGTTACCGAAAGAATCTACAATCTCTACACTACTCATGGAAGAGGCACACATGTCTTGTTTACTTAGGGAAGAACGCAATCTTGTCTGTTATTCGACAGAAGTACTGGATTCTAGGTGCTCACACTGCTCTGAAAGCTCTAGTCTCTAAGTGCGTGACATGTAGGAAATATAGTATAGGGCTCCCTGTGGCACACAGAAGATGGCTGACTTGCCCAGTGAGAGATTGATCCCTGACGAGCCACCGTTTAGCAAAGTCGGACTAGATTTCTTCGGGCCATTTGAACTGAAGCGCGGAAGGAGTATGGTCAAGCTGTACGGAGTAATCTTCACGTGCCTGGTCACGCGTGCAGTTCAGCTGGAGGTAGCGTTCTCTCTCGATACGGATTCGTGCGTTAATGCCATCCGCCGATTCATAGCTCGCCGAGGTAAACCTGTTTTTATGAGATCGGATAACGGGACTAACCTCGTGGGCGCAAAGAGAGAGAGAGAGATTAGAGAGGAGATCCAGAGGTGGAACTTAGATAGGATGCACGGGAACATGCTCCGGATTGGAGTTCCGTGGGAGTTTAACCCACCATCGGCTTAACATTTTGGCGGTGTGTGGGAGAGGCTCATCAGATCTGTACGGAAGGTGTTGTATTCCGTTATGGATGAGCAGACTGTAAGAATGGACGACGAAGGGCTGCAGACGCTTTTTTGCAAGGTAGAGGCCATCTTGAATGGACGTCCGCTGATAGCAGCATCAGACAGTGTCAACGACCTTAACGTGCTCACTCCAAATCATCTGTTACTCCTACGTCCGGGAGAGTGGTTCACTCCAGGAACCTTTGTCAAGACAGACAACTACTCCAGGAGAAGGCAGAGACGAATCCAATACTTGGCGGATCTGTTCTGGGAAAGATGGAGGAAGGAATATCTACCTCTTCTCCAAAGTAGACAAAAGTTGGCAAAGGAGAGAAGAAATATGCGGGTTGGTGACCTCGTGATGATTGCAGATAACCTTTCAAGGCACGCTTGGAACATTGGAAGAATCCAGGATGTCATGAAAGACAAGAACGGCATTGTGAGGGTGGTAAAGGTCAAGACCGCCTCGACACTATTAACGCGTCCTGTGGCAAAACTTTGTCTCATTCTGGGATCAGACTAATGATTAGTGTGCTAGCTGTGCAGGGATGGAAAGTTTTGATTGTCGTCGCGAATATTTTGTCTGTCTTGAGGAACACTTAGAATGTTGCAAAGAGTTGGAGATTGCGGTTGGTTTTGTTAGAACGATTTAGTTTATGTTGGCCGTTTTTGTATCAAGATAATTGTGTATAAGGCCACAATTAAGGGGCCGGTATGTAGCGGCCAACCAACAATTACTTCCTAAATGACGTCTTTTCGCGTATGATAGTCCGGACGGTTTTGGTTTTGGTTTTGGTTTTGGGTGGGTTCGGGTGCAAAGCAGTGAACGCAGGCAGTAGGCTTTGTGAGTTACAACGGTCGAGTGCTTTGTATACGGTTCAGTGTGTAACGGAAGAATACCAGAGTCAACGATACGTCAAGCTTTCGTCTATGATCATCGTCGAAGTTCGTCGATGATAGAATAAATGATGAACGGATGAATTGGTGTTAAAGACTGCTGTTGGTATAAGCGTTACGACCACTATCTACAACCTCCTCTTCATCATCAGAATCATATAGAAGTCCCACAACTTGCAGTATATTAAACGAACGGGGCCTATTTCGCACAGAACGACGTGGTGATTTACTGGAAGTCGCCATCTTGAAACAACTTTTTTACTTTCGGGTCTATAACCTTGTCAATTTGGTGATTCAATGAACATTTACCATGATTTCATCCTAAAGTGTGCCGTTTCGTAAACATCAGAGCCCTCTCGTGATAACCAGACCAACTAAACATTGAAATCTAGGCTTTAGCCAATCAGAGAGGCTGTTATAAATGGCTTTGGTAAAAACGACATTTATGTCGTTCTGCCCATTCTACGGGAGGCGAAATTAATGTCGCTCTGCCTCTAGAAGGATTAACTCAACACTGCGTCTGCAGTTAATTCTCTGTCATATGGGCATTCCATTGTATGTAAATTAGCTGATAGCGGCGCTATATATTCGGCGCCATAGATATATATTCGGCGGGAGAACCAGAGCGGGATAACCAGAGCGGGAGAGATACGCTTTGTGAGTAACAGTTGTGAGCTGACGTCGTTATGACGTGCTGTCGTACCGTTGCTGGTCGTTCTTAATAAACTCAGTTACTCTACGTTATACGAGAGAGACTTTGTCGTCATTACTCTGCAGCGTCCTCATTAAACTAGTGCCTACGTCATTACACGGGAACACTACTTTATTACACTGGTGGCAGCGGATTCATCGGAACCATGTCTCAGTCGGATACCACTGCAGAGCGACAGTCAAGTCGAAGTCACACGATATCTGCACCGCCATTGCTGAGCGGAAGTCAACCAAATTTTAGACCTTTTCAATACGTACAAGAAGTTAAATGACTGGTCAGACAGTGTAGCAGCAAAATGGCTACGAGTCAGCCTACGTGACGAAGCTCTCAACAAGTTCAATCGCATTACAGCAGATGAAAAGCTCAGTTACTCTGCGGCGAGCGCTAAACTATTGGAGGTTACACCGGTACAACGTCAAGCAGCGATCCAGAGTTGGTACACCATCAACCATGAGTTGGGCGAATCGGTAGAAAAGTTTTCGTCCCGTCTTCACTTAAAAACAGTGCGTGCATTTCCAGAGATGTCGGCAGAAGTGCTAGATGTGCTGGCACGTGAACATTTCCTACAGAAACTGCGACCTAATATCAGACGTTTTGTCTTGGCGACAACAAGTCCGGTAACATTTTACGATGCAGTTACTATGGCATACAGAGTGGAACTGTCGACGGTTTCCAGTTACAGCGAGAAGGCGACCGACGCAGATCCAGAAGTAGTGGCAGAGGTTTACACCCTGAAGCGTAATTACATCAAAGGAGCCACGTGTTAAGGATGCGGTAAACACGGACATACAAAGCAGCACTGCCGTATATGCTGGTTGTGTAACCAGGGAATGCATTCACGTCGCTCCTGTCCACGGAGACTGCAGCACCAAGAAAACCAAAGTGGGGTTCAGGAAAGGGTTCACCCGAACACCCCGTACCACCAGTAGGACCGTCAGTAGAAACGGAAGAACACGCCAGAACAACGGCGGCCAAGGATACCTGCATCACGGGATGTGTAAACGGACAGGCTACACAAGTGACATTGGATTCAGGGGCGTCCATCTCGATTGTTAGTCAACAGTTTATCAGTAACTTAGAGATAAAGCCTAGCGCTGTTTCTTCGGCTTGTACCATTGATGGCATGAAGCTCAACTTGATCGGTACAGTTGTGGCTACGTTACAGCTTGAAGGTTTGAGTGCTCACCATAAGTTCCACGTTATTAGTACCAATGGTGTATGTTTACTCGGTTCAAATTTTCTAAGGGAACATGAAGTGCAGTTAAACTTCGCGTCTAGCACGGCGGTTGTAAAAGAGGTAAGTTATGCATTTTGCAAGTCGGTTGTTACGTTAAACCCCGAGTTCGTGCAAAAAGTTAATGCTCCGGTGGCATTTAAGCATGAAGTGTTGAATGTTTTGTCGCGCTATGAGGATGTATTTACCTATGTACAGAGAATCGTTTGGGAGAGGTGAATCGCGAGTTAGTAACGCACAAAATCGAGTTAAAGTCAGATATTAAGTCCGTTAGACGCAGGCCCTATAAGTGCGCATGGCACGAGCGTAAAGAGATGGATAATCAAATCCAGAGTTTATTGAAGAAAAACGTCATACGTCCGTGCGCGTCACAGTTCAGCGCACCGTGCATGTTAGTATATAAGAAATGTGGCGGGAAACGCCTAGTAATAGATTACAGGCAGTTAAATGCAGAGACGAAGTCAGCGGGTGATTGCATAATGCCAAAACCGGAAAAGTTGTTCGATACGTTACGAGGTTGCAAGTACTTTACAGTTTTAGATGCGGCTCAAGGTTATCATCAGATAGCAGTTGCAACAGAAGACCAGAAGAAAACAGCGTTTGTTGTATATACGGGAGAGCAATATTGTTACGACAAAATGCCTTATGGGTTAAGTGGGGCACCGTACACATATCAAATGTTTGTGAATCGCTTGCTCAAGGACTTACGTAAGGAACAGGTGGCAGGATACCTAGATGACATCATTATTGGAGCACCGACTTTAGAGTTATTGTTAACACGATTGCAGAAAACACTACAGAAAATGCGAGATTCGGGAATAATTTTAAAACTGAAAAAATGTTATTTTGCTCAACCAGAAGTGTGTTACTTGGGTCACCGAATTTCGGAGCGAGGCGTACAAATGGATGTGGGGAAGTTAGAGAAGATTCGCAAATATCCCGAACCTGTGAGCAAGGCAGAGTTGAAGAGATTTTTGGCCTTCGCGAACTACTATAGGAAATTCGTTCCAGAGTTTGCCGAGTTGACGGCATCACTGTTTGACCTGACAAGAAATGATGCTAAGTGGCAATGGGACGAGAGGCACCGCTTACAGTTTGATAAATTGAGGGAAGTGTTATGTACGGACAAGGTATTGAGCTTTCCTAACTTCAGGCGACCATTTATAGTACACAC